TATTTATTTCCACTGATCGCCATTAAGTAAGCGGGAAAAAAGGTCCGAGTTACGCGGGAATTTCCAGATCCGTGAATGTGGGGGGATATCCAGGAAAATACCGCATAGTCGTGAGCTTGAGAATAGGAGGTGTGAAGATGGAAAACTGGCAATCCATCACGTTGCGTGCTCTCATTCTTCGCTTGAGATGAAGAACATCTCTCGAAGACACATTTTCCGCTGGGGTCAGAGACCCTCATAGTCCTAGTCATACTTCACCCATCACCATCACGATGCTACTAGGAAATGGAGTCACGTAAGCTTGAAATGTTTCCGATGTACCATATCAATAAAAGGACACAGTGAAAATACCCAATTCACAAAAGTAAACAAACTTCTTTCCTCTCCCCCCCCCCCCCCCCCCCCCCCTTATTTTTTTGTATGCAAGCGCCTAAAGAAAACAAGAAGACTTTTCTCTTACCGTGGTGCCGTCTGGACTCGGGACCATGGGCAATTCACTATACGACATAACGTCTTGTCCTCCACGAGTCGAATCCGAAGTTTTATTAGGCTGTTCCAAAATAAATGTCCGAATTCGATCGCAAACTTTGAAGGGTCGTAACTCAGCTGATAATGAACATTTTTAATTGAAGTAAGCACCATCCGCTTCAACACACTTCTGCCAACGAGATACAAGCTGGTCCAGGATTTAAATCTCTCGGAAATGCTGGAGGTGAGGTTTTCATCGCCGCCCCCCACCCCATCATGCATGGTCGTTACAAGCTTATGTGGTGAGAGGTTATCGCAAAATTGACAGGTATAATGATAGACAAAACATTACACTTCGAAAATCGGACATTTATTTCGGAACAACCTAATAATTCCACCGTTTTCTCCTCTAATTGCTGTCACACATGAATAATAGAGCGAAACTCCGTGATGGGTTCTCGTTTATCCAACCCACAAAGAGTTATCGGATGCTGATTGTCCGTTGTAAAGGAATCCCATGAGGTTTTTTTGTTTAAAAAATCATGCAGGATTCTCGTGTTTTTTTTGTTAGGATGTGCTGCATATTTTCAGATGGTTTTCCACGTGAAATTACATGAATGACACGCGAATATGGGGTAAATCATAAGGTAATTGTGTGGAACTGATCATTTGAGGACTTAAAATGACAGATGATAATCCATCAGAGTGAGAAATTTCAATTTTTAGTTATAACCTCTCACCACATAAGCTTGTAACGACCATGCATGATGGGGTGGGGGGCGGCGATGAAAACCTCACCTCCAGCATTTCCGAGAGATTTAAATCCTGGACCTGAAACTCTTGGTATGGACATTGGAAGCCCTTAATCGGGGCGGATAACGCTCCCTTCTCGACCCCTTTTAAATGGGAGAAATGTTATTAAATGAAATATTGGGCGTTTGCGCATGACGTCACCGATCGGGAGACACCGCCGCCGCGCCATACTGGAGTACAGGCAGACTAAATTTGGCAAGTACGACGGGGATATTGTGCTCAGCTATGGTGAATTTCTCGGTCTATCTCGGTCTGAGCAAGTACACACACTTGCAAGGGGGTTCCCTTAGTCTTTGAGAGTGAAAGATCCGCAGAAATGATGTACGCTGTTTCACCAATATTAAAGAGCCCGCGGGAAGAATGATCAAAATCACATTTAGGTTGTTCTAAGAAAAACAAAAATGAAGTTTCGAAATCATATGGCTCCTAATTTATTCAATGTACAAAAATGATATATATTATAGTATCATTGATCATTTTGCAATTTTGTGAATATCAGAAATGAAAGCTTGTACAACAAACATATAGGTGGGAGCACTATCTCAAATTTTGACCAAAATGTGCAAATTTGACTGATCGTTCTTCCCGTGGGCTCTTCAATTGTATGGTATCTGTACAGGCCAAGACCTAACTCCATGATAAAGAAGATAGTCCAAAATAAACGGGTTTTGACCCCTAAACGGAATGCTATGAAATATCGAGTGGCGAAAGAAAGCGTCCTGTTTGACACCATATTAACCTTTTGACTGCTGGGTTTTTATGGGCCTGTAATACTGTAATGTGCTGGGTTTTCCGGGGTTTTTACGTTTAAAGTCAACAAGAACTATAAATGAATTTACACCTCGGTATTACTCACTATGTATGTATATACTACAGGTAAATTCAACAATTTATGGACTGGAATAAAATGGTAGTTAAAATTTAAATCCCCTGCTGGGCCATCGGGACTGACGCCATATGGCGTCAGTAGCAGTCAAAAGGTTAAATTCGACTGTGAAATCCGAGGTTCACAATTTTTTATGTAACATAAAAAACTACCAAATTTATTTCGTGAAAATTTCAAGCGTCTAGGTTGTCTGAATAAAAAGAGACAGTAATTCAAAGTAGTCATAAGAAGTTACTTTCCCACTCATGAGGTGGATGCAGTCTCAGTACCTTGAGAGGAGATTTCTCTCCTTGAGCCATGAGGGCTGTTTTCATGTTTTGTCCTCGTCAGAGTATTCATGATTGTTCAGTGACTTTAACCTCAGGTGAGAAGGTAAGACCTGAATTTGGTGGTGTGTGATGCTCCAAGTACGGGAGAGGGAAGAGAATAGCTTGGATATCCTATCAAATCGTGGACTCAGTTCTATGGAGTCACTTCCTTCCCATGCCTTCTTTTAGAAACAACCCTTTAACGCTATGACTTTTCATTGAAAAGATTCGACATGATGACACTGCACAGTCAAGGAAATTGGATTAAAAATTCCGCCATGACTAGCAGGCGTTATACCGAGAAATGGGACGCATCTGTAGAGTACTGTTGAAACCACTGCCTTCCGATACGCGAAAAAGCGAAATTTTTTCCAATCGAAGTTTCAGTGGCTTTTGCTCTTTACCCAAACAACCTTGAGACTTTAAAACTTTCATGATACAAATTTCAGAGTGTTTCTAGTGTGATTCAAAAGATTAAAAAATCTCACATTTCTAAAAATAAGTTTTGGAAATTCCCGAACAGGACGCGTTTTTTGTGCCCCCCCCCCCTCCCGATATACTATTCAAATTTGATTTTAAATGTAATCAAATTTGGATTAGGGTCCAAAACTGGGCAAAGTCCTTGGAGACCTAGGCTTGGTCAGCTCTAATGAGGTCCCTACCCTATCATGTGTTTACAGGTTAGGTGAATCTGCATTGGCTATGCAGTTTGCAGGCCACATGAGCTTGTGCTTATCCCTCTCAATACAAACAGGAACCTCACCTACATGCTAACATATGTTAAATAACAGAGTCGTCTGACTGCATTACCTTGGACAACAAAATGGCGTTTCCCCTTGGAAACTTCACTGATTCACTGTGACCAATAGGACCCATTCCTCAGAGAATTTAAAAAACTCCGTGCTTTTGTATGCCTTCATTTACTCACCAGTCTCAAAGCCTGTTGATAAAACGAGGTAGTTGACAATATCAGGGTATTATAGTTTTGGTCAGAATATCACGTCATCCACCAGCTCATCGCATGGCTTCAACGCGTAACATCATAATCTTCACACATATTCCTCTTCTGTATTTAACGGCTTTTCGCCGCGCCTTTCCTTGTCTCTCCTTGTCTCAAAATACGCGGAAGAACTAGTATTCGTGACACTGACGTGATGAAAGTAACAAAGAGTTATCACTAGAAAGTTAGAAACTCCCACTCCCTTCTACTTCAGCATGGCAGATGCGCGTCTGTCCTTGCCTTCCAACGTCATCCAATGGAACTAACGAAGTATTTTTATGAACTGAATATTTGCCAAACCTACCTGTGTTGCTAGACGATAACCACTGAAGAAGATACTGCATTGATTATCTATTTATACCTAATCCACGACAAGGATTTCTTTTAATTCCCCCTCCCCACCCTAATTGGAGATTTAGCAACTTCACACAATCTATTAATGAGTTCCAGTTCAGTGCAAGTTGTGCTGGACAGAGGGTAGGTGATTTCCTGTAACCTCTCATCTCGTCGGTATTTGGTTGTGGCTGGCGAAAGTATTGGCGGTCGGACACTCGACTAACGGGTGATTCCCAAAGTTGTTCATTCCCTTCTTACCTCCCACGAGTCTCAACTTTTTTTGTCTCATTTTCATCTGCTATTTCACGGAGACAGTAAACCACAAATAACCTTGCCCAGACTGCATTTCCGTTGTTTGGCCGAAAGAGTGAAAAGACAAACCTATTAGATTAGCTATGTTCATGTTGACATATCAAGGGTCTATTGAATTTGAAAAGGTTATGGACGAGTTTGTGACCATGGACTTCATCCAAAGTTACAGAAGTAATAATCAACCCTTTCAGGGCTGACGGGAACTCAGGGGTCCCGCATTTTTCCCGCATATTTTATTGGGCTATATAGGAATGCACGACCTTGAGGCCTTGTGGAACTTCTGTGTCCTTGTGACCTCTTTTGGAATTTGTATTTTTGTGGTTAATGACGTTTCATTTTAGACGGTTGAATGAAGAAAATGCGTTTTTACACCATATTTCTTAAATTCCTGTCTTAAAGGGTTAAAATATAATTATTAGTATCATTAAGGAACGAAAGAGATTGAATTCGAAGCCTGACTACGTTACAGGCTCCCACGCGTTCCTTTCTTCTTAAAAGTAGGCAAATTGGGTTAGTCCACGTAGGTCAAATTATGCAACTAGCCAGGAACTGCGAAAGTTTTACGCCGGGTGCGAACCGGCAATGCAAGTCAAGTCAAAACGAAGGAACAACGCGAAACGTCACATTTCTTGGAATCGAGCACTGCTAACAAATGAGTGAGGGTACACCGCTAAGGTCAACATTTTTTCTCAATACGAAATTCATAATTCATCGTTTTGTCTTTCTGTGTTCACTTGTGCTCGTGCCCATTTGATATGGCGTACTCGATTCTGGGAAAAATGACGTTTTCGCTTGTTGCTTTGTTTTTATTCCTGACAGAGTCATACGCCTCTTGGACACGTTTAGCAATATTAACTGACGTCTGTCCATGAAGACAATGAGCAAGTTAAAACTTCTTAACTTGCCTTGCTCAAGGAAAAAAGAAATTGTAATATAGTGGCAAATCCCCAGATTCCCAAATTCTCTTTAACCCCATACGTCGCGGAATTATTTTTTGCGATTTTTTTTAAAAGCTGTTTTAGGTTTCATGTGTCCTAAATGTTGCCAAGGAACGCCTGAATCTTTGTCCAGATTTTTGCATGCCCACTACTGGTTGAACCAGGCGTGTGTTTCTAAACACCTCTATGACTGAAAGGGAAAAAACAAGGAGAAAACACTACGTATGTTCAGAAGTAAACCTGTGTATTTTGCATCTGAAACACGGAAAACAGCAAGTCTACTTTAAATGAAACTGTCGAAAGCAATTCCGATTGCTGTTGAAGCACAGATTGACTTTACATTTTATGCATTAAAGATTATAATAAATTTTGTAATTTTTTAACTAGAAAAATGGTTTTAAAAAAAGAGAATTCAATGGGGTTTTATTGCTTTGCAGTAACCCTTCATGGTGAAAACAATTGAATATTTGAAACCGTGCGCAAATAGCTGTTCGGCAGTTGCATCCAAAACATTCTCCTTCCGCCACCAGCTCTGGACCATCATGGAGGACCTCCACACCTCATACCGTAGCTCTTCGTCACGGTTCACAGGTGGTGGTGGAAGGAGAATGTTTTGGATGAAACTTCCTATTTTCTCCGCCTCCACACTTCATACCGTGCAGCTATTTGCGCATGGTGTCGAAGATTCAGTTTTGACACCATGAAGGGTTACCGCAAAGAAATATATCAATGATTTCATAAAAACCCATTGAATTCTCTTTCTTTTGACACAAAAACCATTCTTCTACATCAAAAATGACAACGGTCATTAAAATGTTAAAATATTAAGTTTAAGTAAGTAAATAAGTAAGTAAGTAACTTTTCATACATACTGTACGTAGAAACAGATCATGTCCATATCCCGCAAGAAAGTGAATTTTTTTCCCGACTTCAATCAATTCTAACAGTTACAGACATGCATGAGCCTGAAACTGTCGCGAGAATCTTCAAGAACTGTCAACATCATTTCATAGCTTCTGAACAGCCTTTGGCAGCCTTCAGTCACAGAGGTGTTTTCAAACACACCGCTGAAAAGTCATCCTGTTGCCAATCAACAAGTAAGAAAACACTTGAAAAGTTGCCCTACGTCTATAAAACAATCACAACAGCAGCACACTAATTTTTATTACCTTCAGGTTCACACTTTCTGATTCCAAATTTATTTTAAAATGTATGTTTTTGGTTTCCTTTGCTTTGGTAATACAACCTTCCTCAAAAACAGCTGAATCAACACTGAAATACAGCTCGTCGTCAGCGAGCAGCCAGGACAGTATCAGTGATGTTGCGATGCGCTGGAGGGGTGGCGGCGCCGTTCACTGCACGGCAGACGCTCAAAACTATGATGTATTTCAAAACACCTCTAGGACGCATAGGGTTAAGGATACCTTCATTGGAACTGATCCCCCCCCCCCCTCCTAGACCATCTTCAAATGATTCCTGAACCGAAGAAATCCATCACAAGAGAAGTCACTTGGGCAATCCTCGAGTTTTTTTATGCAACGCTTCGTAAAGCTGACACTGCACGTAACTGAATTCCAATATTGCTCTGCTCACATTGAGTGGGCATTGAAGTCTTAGAAGTATCATTTTTTGCTTAAAACCTCATCGTCTCTGCCTACTTGCAGTTTTTACAATACCTCACTCTTGTTATCTTCAAATTGAGGCAGCGTGTTTCTCTTCTAAACAGTCAATAAAATATATCAATAAGCAAAAAAAACACTAGGATTACCTTTGACCAAACCTTTGACTTACTTGTTTCTTTTTTCTTTCTCTCTTCCAGTTCCCATCGAGGAGTGAAGCGAAGTGATAGCCAAGGGTCCAGGTCCCATCAGCACGAGAGTAGTACAGTTTCTCCTGTCACTTTAAAGAGATACCCAAGTTCCGATTCCTTGCACAGTTATTCGTCAGCAGCTACGCTGACAGCTGGAAGCATCTATTCGGCGAAATCCACACCCACTTTGACTGGTGATACGGATTCGGGATCCGAGATCCGGGATACCGGATGCTCGGAAGACGACAACGAGAGAATGGTGACGAAAAAGAGTTCCGTCTATAACTACCTACAGTCAAAATCTGACCTGTGTTTTGCTCCCGTGACGACACAACCTTATTGGGAGAAGGTTGAAAACCATGAACCTGTGGAATCCCACGAAGCATATGTGTCACATCTTCGGTCGTCCTCGTATCAACTCCTCCAGAGTAGATCCCAGGCTCAGGTCTCTCCTCTTTCAGAAAGTTCTTCATCTAACTACTACCACGTTCGACAATCCTCGGCCTCATCCTCGCATTCACAGGATGAAGGAATAATCCCATGTCGAAGAAACCGAGAGAAATGTTGCCCTCCTCCTTCCCCTTCTTGCTTATCTCCGTCTCAAAGTTCTCCTCCCCTTCCGCCCCAGAGAGATGCATCCAGTCTAAGGTACATCAATTACGGGCCCGGTCATGAGAAATACCCCTCGTGGCCGGTCCCATCTCCACAAAACGAGGAAATTCAAGGTGCTCCACCCGTCAAAAACAACGGAGGCAGTTTCCGAAGCAAATCCTGGACAGAGCAGACGGACTATCCAAAAGAACGGAGTCCCGGCTATGCTCGTCCCTGGAAGAAAGCGAAACAGGCCCCGAGTTATTTTCAGCAATTGAAAACGGTGGTGGAGTCTGGAACCGAGCGCGGGAGCAACAGCAACAATTACTATGGCGCCTATTTGCCTCCGGTAGACCGAGACGGTAAATTTTATGGGGACTCGGATTATAATATCCCGTCTCCACCGGAACGAGATCCCGGATCCAATTCTTCCTGTTCATATGTATCGGAAGAGAAGCGCCGAGAACCGGTGACGGAGGAAACTCTAGCTCTATTGGCAGAGAAAGAAGGCGCTTTGAGTACGCCATTCTTGGATCAACTTCGTCGGGAGCGAGAAAATTGTCTCGTCCATCAGTGGTCCGTGAACTTGAAGGAGGATCGAGATCGAGATGGCCGGGAGAGTGTCGTAACGAACAGCAGCAACAGCAGCAGCAACGAAACCCTCAAGTGCCATGGATCTTTGAGCGATCTGTCCGTGTGCCCCTGCCCCACGTCCATCGCTCACAGTGCTCGTGTTCCTCCTCCCCAAAGACATCAGTCGGAATGTGTTCTCTACTATGGGGCCGGGGCTGGGATCCAGAATCCGTCATCCACGAAGACAGTTCATTTAGGCCTGTCACCGATCGGCGAATCTCCTCCGGCCGTGGATGTGAGTGCTCCTCCGTCTGTTGCTCAGAGGATTCACGACTTAGAACGCCAAAGCAAGTCCGTGCCCAATCTCCTCGGCGTGAAACCAGATCCAAGCCCAGTGAAACCCAGTTTGAGTAATCAGCGGTACAAATCGGCGGGTGAAAGGTTGAAGTGCTACCTCAGTACGGTGACCACGTGCAAGACGGAGGGAAAATCTTATACGTATTTCGACCCGGAGAAGAAACACAAGGTTTCCGACCCAACCCTAAAGGCGATTCAAAAGCAAGCCGTCATGCAGTTCTTCGAGAGGCAGACTGGAAAGCAATTGGGGAAGAACCATCTCCGGGCCCCTCGAATCCAGACCCTGGCTCGAGAAATTAAGAAAACTGGAAGTGAACTGGAAGCCGAAGCTGAGGACGAGCCAAATCTCAGGGATGTAAGTAACAAGCGTTTTTCCTCATTCTCTGGAGAGCTGGGTATTATTTAAAAGACGAGACCCTTTCTTCCCTGTTGTCTTTCTTTCTGGCAACGAGAACAAGAGCTCTCCATTCTTACACCGTACTCCCCATTCATGACACTCCTCCAACACGTCACTGTGATGTCATCGAATCAGCTGCCTTTGTAATCCTTCAGTTTTAAGAATCACCTAGTAAAATATGTGAAAGAAGAAAATTATTAATATCTCGGACAGTTCGCACTGATTGGGTTGAACTCTTCCCGAGGTCGACGCGATGCTGACTTTGGCAGACGTTCATGTGAACACCTGGTATCTTCGATCCGATAAAAGATCGCAGGCCTCCATCATTCCGAGCCTGCCATTTGTTATCCGGAAAGGAAGGAAAACAAAAATAGACCGTCTTTTGGAATCGATTATGAATCTTGAAACAAGCTTATCCTATGAAACCCAAGAATTGGTTTTCCTGGTTACTTCTCGGAGAGCCGAGCGTATTTATAATATTTTGGCGAACGACCAGAAAAAGACCCTGGGTAGTGACATTTGTGATTGTCAGGTGCTAGTGCATCATATGTACCACAAGAGTGATTTTGTTTGTCTCGTACTTAGTCGGACAGCATTTTTTGTTTTCAAACGAAGAACCGTAGATTTTATCGAGGTTGTTATGGAATAGGAGATGGAGCAACGGAAGGAAAGTATGGACATAACAGTCAGGCTGGAGGGAATTTCGTTATTATTCATGAGGAATTGGCTGGGCTTCTCACTATCGACAAATACTCTGGGAGACGTAATTAATAAAAAAAAAAAAACAATAGCGCCGCTCTTGGAAATTCCTTGGCATTTATGTCAGTAGATACCGCAACTAAGTTTTTTTCCTTAAGTACTTCCATTTGCCCTCTAAACATCCTTAAAATTTTCATCCGTTCATTTCCAGCCATGCAAGATCTGCAACAATGACTAGCATCGACAATAATTTTTAACTATTTTTTTTCCATCTGTACTACAGAATCCGTCAAACAGATCTCTCTCACCCACCCCAATATCTCTGTAATTTGCTGCTAGAAATTTGCTTTCCTGGATTATCATTTTGAGAAACAATGGCATCTTCCAAATAACTGCTGTTTTAAATTCTTTAATTTCAAGTAATTTTGGTTTACTGCTCCCTGCTTTCCCCCTAGACAAACCGGTTTCTCGCAGCTTGTGAATCAATCTGTTAACAATGCACTTCTTCAATAATATGGAAATTCTTGCACAATTTAGACTTGTCCCATTCGCTCTTAAATTATCAGAATTTAATCAGTGCCTCATCATCCGCGGGAGGCACCATTTTCATAGAGTGCGGAGCAATGACCCGAAATAGGCGCTCTCCGACCACTTTTCCTTAAATACTTTCTCTCGCGCAAAAATATTGCTGGAGTAGCCTTTGTAAAAATCGCTAGTATGCTAAAAGGAGTGAGAGAAGAATAGCGAAAAATCAGCATCCGATATTTATGGGATAAGCCTTTTTTTAAAGCGAGCGATCATTTGCACGCCGAGGCTGAGCGGGTTACTGTTAAGGACGGTTTCTAACTGCAGTTGGGATGCGGCAACATCTGAACAGCAGTTGAAATCAGTCGTTATCCTAATCGCTAAATGAGGCGTCGCATTAGCAAAAGCAGTTTGCTGCGTCCGAACTGCAACGGACCGTCATTGACCTATGACGTTTCATTCGGTTAGTCAATCCTCGAATCGCGTTGAAATTGAATCGGTTTAGGTGAGTCAATCGCGTCCACACTATAATCATTCCGATATTGGCTAGTGAGCCATCATCCGGCAGCACGGAAATACTTGAACTGTGATCCCGGCTTAATCCAGAATAGAAATATAAGGAAAAGAAAGCAAGCACGATACTTACAGTATGTGCTGTCAATGTCTTTTCTTTGTTCACAGATTGTATGGTTGTGGCTGTAGGTATGATTTCGTTCTGCAAAGGTAACATGAATTTCACCAAATTGCCATCAGCTTTTGGAAACATAATTTAATTGAACCCAATGATGCAGACAGGAGAAAACCTAGACCACTGACTTCTCCCTATCGTACGTGAAGAGGGAAATTTCGAAAGTGTTCAAGTGCTTAACGATGTTTTGGAGACTGCTGCAAGATGGGTATCCCTTTGCCGTAACAATGTTTAAACTTCATGCTTGTTTGAAGATGGGGGAGAATATGGTAATGACATGTTCTTTGTAGCTTTGGCCCATCCTGAAATTTCGTCATATCGCGTAAAATGTAATAGAAGATGGCGGGATAAGCCAAGCTCCTGGATGAGTGACGGGATTTCCCACTTGGCTGTGGATGAGAACGATCCTCATCCTCATAGGGGCCTTGCCTTGGCTGCCTGGCTTTGGGATTTGGCACCTGATACCTCTCTCTCGTCGTCTATTTTCATCTCCACTGCTTCCTCCCTCTCTTCCTACTTTTCTCTCTTTCGCGCTACCGAACGGTGTTAGCGGAAAAAAACGCCTGCCTTACACCGACTTTGGCAACAATGTGCTCGAACGACGACTGACGAGAAGAGGAGCAATGGGGGTGGCGTTGGTGGAATTCGGGGTGGCTTTTCTCATATGCATCTGGTGTTGGTGGATATCCCCCTGGCTTCAGTTCTACTGGTTTCTTGCCTATCACTCTCTTCTCCAGGGATGCACTACGTTCTGGCATCACTTCCTCCGTCTCAAAATCAAGGTAGCTATAAAATCCTTGTATGGAAATGGAATATTCTTGCGGCACAGGTGAATGGCTTGAACGAATGACGATCATGGCCTTCCCTCTGGCGGCTACATTCTATCGCCGCCGTAATGGATTTGTATGTTCCCCTCGGGTCATTACACGTTTCCTTCGTCCAAAGAAATCAGGTTCCTTTATCTATTTTTTTCCCCGCTGGATCTAGTTCTCTTTTCATTCCCTTTCTCTCAATCTCATCTCGATACGACTTAAAGTCTGATACTGGACCCAATCTCTTAAATTATATAGAATGGTCATCATTATCTTTTACAATTTCAATTCCAAAAGCTTCTGTTGTGATTGAGGGCGTTCGCCCTCTACTGAGGTGGATCTATATACTTAAGATCTTGATAATTATCGACTGTGGACATGCTTGTTTTTGCTTCTCAAGGCTGAATCCGCTTTAACCTTCACTCTGAAGGATATTTCCCTTTTCATTAACAAGAATAAGTTCTTTTTTTTTTAAGTATGCCGAATGATACCGTATCATACTGCATCACGGCATACTAATACATCTGCACCGTAATTGACTACGCCTTCTCTCTAAAGATATTGCAGCTACGTGGGAGTTAATTACTTCATGTTCCAAATATGTAAAATGAGTATGCTAACAAATAAGCACGAAAGCACTATAACTTGCTGCAGAATACTTGATTGTTTATTGGATGTAGCCTTTCTTTATTAATGTTTTGACTTATTTTAGCTGACTGTGTTTACGTACACAGTCAACAATTGTTAATACCACTGTTTTAATAGCACTTTTCTTGCATAACAAATATAATAAAATAATTGAATTCAGATGACCGAAAGAATATTTTTTTGAAAGACCTAGGCCTTGCTCTGGTAGGCCAAGGTTAGGCCTAAGCTAGACATACCGCTGTGCTTAAATTAGGCTGTAGTACGTGACTGTCGGCCAGTCAGGCCAGTTATGGGATCGTCAGCCGGCCTCTGAAGAAGACTCACGCAACAGAAACGCCGAAATCATACTATTCCTTGCCAATTATCATAAATGGTCTCTTTGATGTCGTTTTTGGTGATGTCAGTGAAAAACTTGGTGTGATCAGTGGAGAGTTCTAACGTGAAAACTGAGGTACACCGTTTTTGGATAGATTAATAAAAAAAAACTTGCGAGAAGAAATCCTTTGCATTACAATGATCCTCATCCCTTTCCTTTAGTTAATTAAAATGCTGAAAGAAAAAGTGATCTGCGAAAAATGTTGGGGAAAAGTATAGAAAATGTCCATTAAACAAATGGACATTTTCCTTTTATGAAAGGTGGTTTTTTGGATTTATATGAGGGAAACATTTCATACTACAATTCCTCACTTTAAAGAAGACGGCCCCTGGAATATTCCTTCCGTGCGTAGTTCGACAAAAGAATTTTTTTGCAGATAGGCCACTTCATTCAGCCCTTCAATTGTACTGGTGCGAGAAGAGAACAAAAGGAAAGAAAAATGGTCGGTCCATGATCTCTGTGCCCGGTCGACGATCCCACTTTCAGGGATAGAAGTTCTTTGAGAAATTCCAAGTTGTAACGTTATAGCAGACGACATTTAGACGAGTCTGGGACGAATTAAAAACTGCTGTTAACAATTGACACTATCGTTATGTCCCTTGGACGAACCTCTGCTGTGGGGTATGTATACAGTCCTCCACCTAGCACTATTTTCACTATTTCAACCTCGCTTAATTTCAAAAAAAGATACCACAAATAAAGTCATACATGCCTACAATGTTATGAAGTTTCTTGACGTGTTTAGACTGGTATACAGTGCAAATTATTTATCTTAGAGTCATATCAGGAGGAACCGTAAATGAGACCATGCGAAAGTGGAATGAAAGGTCTTCATAATCGGGCACCAGGGAGTGTCACCATCCACAAGATTTGCATACGCCGTATATATGGAATGGCACAAAAGCACTGGCCACCATTTCAAATGTCTGTCATAGATGTCACACAAAAGCTGCCTCTAAACATTGGGATCGCCCTTGTGTGACATTACTATCGCAATATCTGTAATGTCGTTGAGGCGCTATGGCCTTTCGACACGGGACAGGAAGCGTGAAAGGACTGGCTTCATCGCCAATGCACCCAATGATGACCATCCATCTGCCATGTTGCTATGTTAGTGCTGGATAGCTTTGGTCAGCCGTCTATCATACCATCTCTTGAATGCAAGAAATTGTAGATATGGATGGGTGTCACATTGAGAAAATCTAGCACACTTGGGTGACCATTTTCTTTAACCCTAGATTCCTTTTCCCCATGGTCTCAT